TATATATATATATATATATATATATATGTATGTATATACTTAGGTTTTGGTTGAAAATTGAATTTCTTTCGAAATATGTAAAACATTCTATTTTAAAATTGGCTATAGTGTACACTAGAACTTCCAATGCAGCCTGGACACCGGAGCTTTCTGTTGTTGAATTGTAATTAGATACTAACTGTGTTTTGCAACAGAAACACTAAATGGAAAAAAACGCGCCCGCTCTTTTAAAACTCGGTACTTTTCTACATACATACATACATACGAGCGTACATATATATTTATGTGTATAGGTTTGTATGCTGTTCTGAAGCCTGGGCAATTGAGCGAGTGCCTTGGCGTGCCGAGGAGCAGCATATCGAGAGTTCTAATAGTGGACATAGAAAATGGGGCAGGGAGGGGGACATCCCACACAGTAGTACACACTTGCAGCTGTGCGCACTGTCGTTCTGTTGTCCTTGAACGCAAAATTTTCACTCCACCGCCCAGGTGCTGCTGGTCGCACAAAATACACATGCACATACACATGTACATACACTACACAAACGCTTGGATAGAAAGTCCTTCAGGGGTCTTCGCGTCTTGTGCAATATAGTAATATAATTGACAATTTAATTATTTGATTGCGATACCTTTCTTTAAATTTTCACACGTTTTTTTCTTCTGCTCGTTACGATTTATACTTTTTCGTCGCGCACACACGCACACACACACAGCACTGCTGGCCGCCGCTGCTGCTGGTTCTCGCGGTTAGCGATGAAATAATGCATATCGCATCGATGAAAATGGCTACACGATATTCCCACCGATAATTCTGCCATCTTTAGTTATGTACAATTCGAATTTAGCGGACACTCCAAGAACATTCAAATTAGACCTTTTGGCATCCAAAACGAGCAGATATTAGGAGCACATTAAATAAAAGGAAATTAATGGAGTGAATTGATTGTATAAATGAACTATAATCCATCCATTCTTCTTCTTGTCTATGAGCTTGAATTATCGGGGTAGCTCGCCAAAACAAACTTTCTTAATAGTCGTACAAAAGTACACAAAATTTAACAGTGAACACAGTTCGCTAAAAATTTCACAGAAAACTTAGCCGAGCTACTTTTGACATTTGATACAAAATATAGTTTTTATAAGCATTTCAAAGCAGGGTAAGTAACGAATACGTAAAGTACATATCTTGATAATCCACCGGCATTTTCTAACACTGAGAAGATTATTTAGAACAATCTAGTGCACTGGCTACACGTTGTGAGAGCAGCATAGCCCTATTTATTTACATTTTTTTTAACAAGCAACTGAATTTTGTAGCTAAATTATGTCCACCACGGCAAGCGCAACTATGGCGGCGGAGAGCGCCGACACGACGGACCCAGCGTCCGCGCTGACGGAAGCACAGCAGGAGCCTATCTTCAAAGAAATTAATGCAGAGCAGGCAGTGGAAGTGGTCGAAATCGAATCGGCCTGCATGAGCTGCTTCAAGACTGGCACCACTCGGTTGCTGCCGACGAAGATACCCTTCTTCCGAGAGGTGGTGCTCATGTCCTTCAAGTGTGAGCACTGCGGGTTCACGAATAACGAAATGCAATCGGCATCCGAAATACAAAAGCATGGAATACGCATCGAACTGAAAGTGGAGAAGGAAGCGGATCTGAATCGTCGTGTTGTTCGATCGGACAATTCCAGCATCAGCATACCAGAAGTGGAGCTAGAGATACCCGTGCAATCACAAAAAGGTGAGGTGACCACCATTGAGGGCATCATTGAGCGCACCATAACGGGCTTGTCGCAAGATCAGGAGAAACGGCGAATTGAGCATCCCACGGAGGCCGAGTCCATCGATGCCTTCATCGATCGCTTGCGTGATCTAAAACTGGTGAAGAAACCTTTCCGCGTGCTGCTCGAGGACATCTCGGGCAACAGTTTTATTGAGAATCCCTTGGCACCCGCCAGCGATCCACAGCTGAAAACGAGCCACTTTGCGCGGTCGACCGCCCAAAACGAGCAGCTCGGTGAGTTGACGAACCCATCTCAGTCGTATCATATCCAACTAATTAAATACATTTATGTGCATCCCTGCAGGCCTCTATGAGCAAAATCACGAGGATCAGCATCTATTGAAGCCCATTGCCGAGGACTCGTGGCCAATTGAGAATCTGCATGGCGAGGTGCTGCAGTTCTCCACCAACTGTCCCAACTGTCATGCACCGTGCGAGACGAACATGAAGCTGACCAATATACCGCACTTCAAGGAGGTGGTCATCATGGCCACCGTCTGCTCGAGATGCGGCCACAAGACGAACGAAGTCAAGTCCGGCGGTGGCATCGAGCCGGAGGGAGTGCGATTTAAGTTGCGAGTCGAAAGCAAAGAGGATCTGACTCGAGATGTGCTGAAATCAGAAACGTGCAGCTTATCGATACCAGAGCTGGACTTGGATGTGGGACCCAATGCTCTTTGCGGGCGGTTTACCACCGTCGAGGGCCTACTAGTGGCCATGCGCGAGCAACTGGATGGCACCTTGTTTCACGACTCGGCCGATGAACCGTCCAGGCAGCAACTGGAACGCTTCCTAACCACGTTCGATAAGGTTATCAAATTGGAGCAGGTAATTACACTCGTGCTGGAGGACCCAGCCGGTAATACCTATGTACAATCGCTCTCGGATGACGATGAGCCGGATGCCAAGCTCATTGTGGAAAGATATGAGCGGAGCTTTGAGGACAACGAGGAGCTTGGTTTGAATGACATGAAAACTGAAAACTATGAGCAAAATGCGTGATTGCACGACATTTCTGTACTATATCTATATCTATATGTATACCTATATTCTATATTTAAATGAAAATCATGCATTTAACTGAAATTTAAGTGTACAATTGAATCCGTAACGCATAAAATAGTTAGCAATTGCGTAAAATTTGATTATTGAAATAATAAAAACATCGGGCATATATAGTAAGTACATCATTGATATTTTGCTTGCATTGCTGATTGAATAATTTGCATACATACATACGTATATCTTATATTGTTTTTTCAATTTCAATTTATTTCTGTGAATAAATAGTATTTTTCATTAATAGGCTAGGAAAATAGGCCTTTTCTGCTAAGATATTTATTTACATATGTACATGACATATGGCATATGCGATATATCTTATATAATTTATATACATATGTACATATTTGCATCACAGATTTATCTGCGTTCAAACACTGGTTCAAATACTGCGCTACAAATATATATCGCAATTGATGCGATTACTATCGTGATTTAGTTGGAATTTTCAACGTACGATATGCCATTCGTTAGCAGCACTGGCAACTCCAGCTGATCGAAGTAATCGAAATCGTTTGTGGCACTGGTTGTGGCACCGACACTTCCAATTAATACAACTTTTTACTTTATTATTTGGCTGAAAAGTGTATAAAATGCTATCGAATTGTGCAGCAAAGACGCTGGCCGCTGTCGTAAGTAATTTGCTGTGTAACGCGCTATCAGTGCTGGCATGCAAATGCCAATTACGAGCGACAAGTTATGTAATTTTTTTGCACAACAAACAATAACATTATGTATTTGCAGCGCGGCAGCCTGCGCGCCATCGCCACCAGCAGTGCCCAGCGCAGCGACAATCTGTTCGTGCATCGCGACACACCCGAGGATAATCCCAACATACCCTTTGAGTTCAGTGCCGAGAACAAGAAACGCGTGGAAGCCATATTAAGCATCTATCCAGAAGGTCACAAACGTGGCGCAATGATACCGCTACTCGATCTGGCACAGCGTCAGTATGGCTGGCTGCCCATATCGGCCATGCACAAGGTGGCCGAGATACTGGGCCTGCCCAACATGCGCGTCTACGAGGTGGCTACCTTCTACACAATGTTCATGCGCAAGCCAACGGGCAAATATCATATTCAGGTGTGCACCACCACGCCCTGCTGGCTGCGCGGCTCCGACGAGATTCTGGAGACGTGCAAAAAACAGCTGGGCATCGGCGTCGGCGAAACCACAAAGGACAAGAAGTTCACCATCTCGGAGGTGGAATGCCTGGGAGCCTGTGTCAATGCACCCATGGTGTCCATCAACGATGATTACTATGTGAGGGGGAAATGAATTCAAAATATATTTCCAAATATTTTGCTCATAACTAATATCACATTCCATGCTGCAGGAGGATCTGACCGGCAAGGATATGCAAGAGATTCTGAACGATCTTAAAGCCGATAAGATCTCGCCGCCCGGACCACGCAACGGACGCTTCGCCAGCGAACCCAAAGGCGAGCCCACTTCGCTATCCGAGGAGCCAAAGGGCCCAGGCTTTGGCTTACAAGCGGGTCTCTAAGCCCCGCACAATGCCAATCCAGCTTAGCTCCAACTGTTTAACATACAATTTAATTCGTTTTTTTTTTTTTGTGCGACGTGCAACTTGCAAAAACAACAAACACAACTTATAGCTACAAATACAGATTGTCAGATGACAGTTCAAATGCAATAAACCCAAAGCAAATGGAGTTTACTAACTATAATCTATTTGTTATGAAGAAAAAATGTATACAAATTATGTTTTATTTAAGATCTGACTACAAGCGATGGCTAAATAATATATGTATGTATGTCTTAGAGCATCAATTGAAGCAATCTGGAGGGCTGTCCCTCTAAACATGTATAGTATGTATGTATATGCATGGAAGCCATAACAACTTCTGTGTTGAAGCCAGGGTTTAACTAAGTTAATGTTGAATTTTGCTAACATTGACATTCAAAAAACAACTACAATTTCTATAGTTTCTGTCTTGTTATGGTCCATATCTGTGCCCTATAGCTATAGTATATATATATATATAATCGCTATATCTCCTGTTAGTCAACGATCGAGTACTATATAGTCTGGTACGTCCGACCAATTCTTATATGTTGCCTGTCTCGATGGTGCCTAAGTATACCGCTGAGTACGATAAATTCCTAGACCAAGTTCCAGTAAGGCTTTCTGAATGCAATCCAATTGGAAATTAGTGATGGGTGGTCCTAATCTTCGGCATGTGTTTAGTCAACACTAAACCGAGTATGTAGCTAACCTGCTTATCGAATATTGATTTATATGATTTAGATTGGCAGCCATATCCTCCCTGGTCAGTTTTCATCCGTCATCCTGCCTCATTTGCCTAGAGTTCGTTCAAGCGAGAACACCGTGAATTGTCTAAGCGATTACCAAAAAAAAAGTTCCAGAAGTTTTTCTCTAAAAAAATAAAGTGACAAAATCTAAAATAACAAAAAATAAAAAAAATGGTTGGAGTTAAAATGAATTTGAAAGTGTGAGTAAATATATTTCAAGTTAATTAATACATTGTTCGTTGCTATATACAAATTTTGTTTTTCAAGTTTTTCCAAATCCGTTTTGGTGTATGATAGCGAATGTAAGTTGTTTCCTAAAATGTATATAAATTTGATTGCTCAAGGATTTTATATTCTTTTTATTTTATTCCAAAATAAAAAAGCGATTGTAAGGGATCCGAATGGGAATTCGAATGCGTGAGTAAATATATTTCAAGTTAATTGAAATATTGTTTGTTGCTACATAAATTCTTTTTTTTTTTCGAGTAGGAATGCCGAGTCGTTTGTGAGCCGCAGTAAGTTATTTTCTTTGATTGATTAATGCAAATATATTCTATATGATTATTTTTACTTTTTCAATTTAAATTACTACGCCAAACCCGGAATTATCATTTTTTCTTTCCTTTTCATAACCTAAAAGCTAAGTTATAAGAACTAATTATGTTTTCTGTGAGTGCGAAAGGGACGGCAGGTGTGACATGTAATGAATGCAAAAAAGACAGCTAGTGTGCGTGTATGTGTGTGGGAGAGGGTAAGAGAGTAACGATTAATGGCTGTCGCTCGCACCGAAAAGCGCTCGGCTCGACTGTGCTTCGTTTTGTTTAGCCATTTGAGCAACTTTTTCGTGTTCACTTTGCGCTCTTCAATCAGGATCATCCTGAACTGCTCGACTAGGCCCTTGCAGGATAGATTAGCCCTTCGTCTATCACAACAGCTTTTGTCAACTAGTCTGTACATACATACATACATACATATGTATATACTGTTTTAAAACTGGCATCGAAAACTGGCCTACATATGTCAGATTGACATAATTAGATTGATTAAGTTATTCGTGACGAAGGTTTTTGACGTTTTTCATCAAAAGTTTTTCTCTAAAATACATAACGAATATAATGTCTGATATAAAAAACAAAGAGGATTTTAAATCTAATTTTGAATCTGTGAGTAAATTTATTTCAAGGTAATTGAAATATTGTTGCTATATAATATTATTTTTCAAGTTTGGTTAGTTCCAAATTGGTGTATAGTAGCCAGAGTAAGTTGTTGCCCAAAATTGATTAACCTTTTATTTTTCAGTAGTTTGCTTAATACATATTTTCTATTCTTTTTTATTCCAAAATAAATAAGCTTATGAAGTGCCTGGAGGAAAGACTGTAACTGTGAATGTGAATGTGTGAGT